AATGCGCGTCTGGCCATTTGGGCGCTTGGGACTGCTCCTGGGGCCTCTCGGGGCCTCCTGTTGCCTTCCGAGGCCTCCTGGCGCTTCCTCTGGCCTCCTAGGGCCTCCTGTGGCTTCCTGAGGTCTCCCGGAGCTTCCTGGGGCCTCCTAGAGCCTCTTGGGACATCCTGTGGCCTCTTGAGTCTTTCTGTGGCCTCCTGATGCCTCCTGGGACATCATGTGGTCTCCTGGGACCTCCTGGAGCCTGTTGGAGCCTCCTGTGGCATCCTGAGGAGAATCTGTGCCCACGAGTCTGGCCACCGATCGAGACATCCTCAAAATCTGGCCCACCTGGGGGGTGAAAATGAGCGCCTCGCTCGAGACATCCTCCAAATTTGCTCCGAAAGCGAAGGATGTTGGGACAGAAAACAGGCAAACCGCTTGAGACATCCCCACAAAACGGCCTTGAACGGGACCGTGAAAACACCCCTGGCGGCTCCCCTTAGGGATGCTGAAAATGAGCGCCTCGCTCGAGACATCTTCCAAATCTGCTCCGAAAGCGAAGGATGTTGGGACAGTAAACAGGCAAACCGCTTGAGACATCCCCACAGGCCTTGAACGGGACCGTGAAAACATCCCTGGCGGCTCCCCAGAGGGACGTGAAAATGAGCGCCTCGCTCGAGACATCTTCCAAATCTGCTCCGAAAGCGCAGGATGTTGGGACAGACAACAGGCAAACCGCTTGAGACATCCCAACAAAACGGCCGCGAACGGGACCGTGAAAACACCCCTGGCGGCTCCCCTTAGGGATGCTGAAAATGAGCGCCTCGCTCGAGACATCCTCCAAATCTGCTCCGAAGGTGAAGGATGTTGGCACAGAAAACAGGCAAACCGTTTGAGACATCCCAACAAAACGGCCGCGAGCGGGACCGTGAAAACACCCCTGGCGGCTCCCCTTGGGGGGGCTGAAGGCAGCGCCCCGCCTGAGAGATCCTCACCACAAAACGGCCGCGAACGGGGCGTGCGTGAGTCTCACCATGAGTAAGTCTGAGTAGGAGTAGGTCTGAGTATGAGTAGGTCTGAGTATGAGTTTTTTTTGTTTGCCTTTTTTTCCCAACCATCCTGTGGTGTTGGGTCCTCGTTTTGAAGAGACGGTGCCCCGCGTCTCCTTCCTCCTCTCCTCCTCCGCCTCCTCTCCCCTCCTATCATCCTCATCGTCATCATCATCATCATCGTCATCATCATCATTATCATCATATAACTGCTTGTAGTGCTTTGATCGTTGCAATGTTCTGTGCCGCAACCGCCTCGGCTCAAGTCTTAATTTGTGTGGCTCCCATGCAAGACATCGTCGCATCTTTTTCAAACATTCTGCGATACGGGGCTCAGGCTGTGGGAGCTTCCGTGGTGGCACGCGCTGCCGCGCCGAGTTGCGGGGCCTGCGCGCCGCAGCTCACCTGCCCCGCCATCCCCGCCTGTGTCTGCGCGGGCGCTGGCGGCCAGGTGCCCGAGCCCTCGTGCGGGGGGCTCATCGCGGCCTACGCGGCGGCCGCGCTGACCGTCGGCCTGGCCGTCGGTGCCGCAGGAGGCGCGCTGCTTGCTCGCAGGGCGGAGAGCAGCCCCGCCGCCGAGGCGCCTGCTGCCAGCTTCGAGGAAACGGCCCGCGCCCAGGCGAGAGCCGTCAGAGATAAGAAGGCCTCTACTGCGTGAAGATGGCTCACCAGTTGCATTGGGCGCTCGTCAGATATCGAGTGCCTGGCGCGCACGTGTGGCATGAGCGGCTCATTGTGTGGCGCGGGCCTGGGACGACAGTATACGTCATCACGCCTGACGGTGATCGATATGAAGAGAGTGGCACTCCAGATGCCGACATCGCGGGCATCATCATGATAGCAGGGCAGGGCGAGAGGCCAGCTGGGCTTCGCGTGTACGGCTTCAGAGCGCTGCCGTCCGACGCCGACGTGTGGGCTGGCATCATGGAGGCGGCCGCGTTTTTCGGAGGCGGCCGCCCCGCGTCGCCCGCCAACATGCCCTTGGCCGCTGGCAACGTGGGCGGCCTCGCGGTGGGCAATCACGTGGTTGCTGACCCTGCGCCGCAGCCCGCGGCGGTGCCTGGCGCACCTGGCGGGCCTGCCGCGGGGGCCCCTGCAGGGGCGCTGGCGGCCGCTGGAGGCGCAGGCGCTGCGGCAGCAGCGCCGGGAGGGGGCGTCGCGATGCCTGGCCTGGTGGCTGCCCTGGCGGGCGCGGGCGCCGCGCCCGCCGCCGCGCCTGGGGCCCCTGCACTGCCGGCCCCGCCCGCCGCCGCGGCCGCGGCCGCGCCGCCGGCCGCTGCGGCGCCGGGCGCGGTGTCCGCCGCGGCTGCGGCTGGGGGCGCGCTCGCGGTGCCAGCGGCGGCCCCGCCTGCGGCGGCTGCTGCCCCAGCCGACCTGCGCGTCAACGCCGTGAGCATCGACGTCCGCGGCGACCGCTGGAGGGACTTCCGTGAGGGAACGATGCTCCACTCATCGACGAACTGGAGGGA